ATAGATAGATAGATAGATAGATAGATAGATAGATAGATAGATAGATAGATAGATAAATGTGTTGCAATGAAGAGAGAGATTGTGAGTCAAAATCTTTACCTCTAAAGTAGATGCCAGGATTGTATCAAAGTCTGGAAGGTGCTTCATGACTTCCAAATATATTTCTCTTGTATCTAAAGAGTTCACGTACTGAAAAGGGTGGAAATCATTAAATAAATGTTATTCAACTGTACAGTAGGTATTTTATTTACCATAATTTAATTGTTCTCAATAATGTTTCAGTAATTTTAATGCATTTCAGGAGCCATTTCTGCACTCTCCTGAATAGACTAGATGAAGGGGAAAATGTAATAGTAAGAATAAAAAAGTTTTATTTCTTTGCATAGCTTATGTTTACTGCCACTTCTGATACCTTCTCGTTCCTTAAAACATTTCAATCTTCTTGAAATGATCCCGAGTTAGAGAGAACTGTAGAAATGAGATAACTTTTTTCACTATGTATTTCTTCTTACCCTTACTTAGATTCTGTCAAAATTTCAGAATACACTGAAGGAATTCCAGAAAGAAAAAAATGATTATTTATCAGAAGTGGTTTTGCCACTGTCTCCTTCCTAGGGCTGAGAGAAACTGACTGGTCCAAGATCACCCAGTTGGTTTTGTGCCTAAGCAGGACTACAACTCAAGGTCTCCTGATTTCTAGCCTGATGCCTGAACCACTATCTCAAACCTACTCAGTATCTACTAATATTAATTATCCTAAATATTTATATTTTGTCCAACATTAGAAAAAGAATACAATAAATACAATACAATACAATAAAATGGTATTGTTAAGCACTGGGCACTTCAGTACCTTTGGGTCAATTAACTGCCAGAATGCTTACATGATATAAGGCAGTATCATTAGTAAAAATATACGCTCTCTAAAGATATAATAACAATAGCATTTAATTTTATACATTGTCCCATAGTATTTTGCAGCTCTCTGTGGGTGGTTTACAATGCCAGCATAATGCCTCCAACCTCAGAAACATGGAGGGCTGAGTCAACCTTGAGTTGGTCGGAATCAAACTCCTGGTAGTGGGCAAAATCAGCCTACAATACTACATTGTAACCACTGTGCCAGCAGGGCTCTAACTGACAACCTCCAGATACGATGGATAAGAAATCTGAGCAACCCAGGTAGCAAGATCATGGACAAGGCTGCATGATGATAATAGTTTAGAACAACATATTTCAAGGGTGCCAGATTGGATAAGGCTGACATAAAGTACAGGTGTTTTCCAACACACAAAACTTTAGTCTTTCTCTGGAATGCCAACAATACTCAAACACTTAAAATTAACAAGTACCAACTGAGCATAAGCAAAATCTTGGAAGAAAAAGATACTAAGATATTTCTTCCTTTACCACCTCCACCACCACCAACTACTCAGAGTACACAAAGGCAAACCAATGGTAAAACTCATACCAAAACACCTCCTTTCTCTTTATTAGTTAAGGTGGCTCCGGGTGGAAAATACGCTGTTGTGCTAGATGAGATATCCAAACTACCACAAAGCTCACCCTGGGTGGCACAGTCCATCCAGCCTACTTTAACCAGGCCTTCCTGTATTGAAAAACAAGAGAAAAATGAAACCTAACAGAGATACATCACACATATATTTGAATGGCAGGCATGCTTTGCCATTCAGTTTATGCTTCGTTTACAAAATCACAGGAAGGAGTTAGAAATAATGGCCAAAGCAAAGTTAAATTGAGATAGAGGACTCCAGCATGTATCTTGCTCTCTCCCACTGAAGTCAGTGAGATAAAGTGCTTTCTTTTGGCCAAATTTCACCAGTGCATTTAAAATATTCTTTAAAAAAAACAAAACAAAACATGAATGCTTACCAACATGCCAGCCAGTTTAAGGCGTGTTCGAGAAGTCAAACAATCTAAACAAATTACATTAAAAGGAGTAAACATCTTTTTTTTTTTTTTTTTTTAAAAAGGCTTATATTAATCTACATCAACATTTCTCAATCTTTCCATTTTAAAATGTGTGGATTTCAACTCCCAGAATTTCCCAGTTAGTGCTGGGCTGGGAATTCTGGGAGTTGAAACAAACACATTTGATTTACACATTTGTATGTATGTTGTTCAAATACCATTACACAGCTAAATATTGTTTGGGGAAAATTGTTAAGGTATTTTCTCAGCACGAAGAGATTATACAATACTTGGCATTGAATCCTATGAAAAATAGAAAAGATTTCTTCACGTGTCTCAACTGAAATACAGAACATACTAAATCAGGGGTCTACAGACAACCTTGGCAACTTTAAGCCTGGTGGACTTCAACTCCCAGAATTCTGGGAGTTTTGTTTATTTGTTTATTTATTTATTTGTCAAACACTTACAATATAACAGAAACAAGAATAAACATAAGTTTAAATATAAGAAATAGGAACTAATAATTGGGGACAATAGGATAGGGATGGTAGGCACGATTGTGTGCTTATGCACGCGCCTTACCTCTTAGGAATGGGGTGAGGTCAACAGAGGTTAGTTTGAGGGCAAAGGAGTGGGGGTTTGAGCAGGTGACAACAGAATCAGGTAGTGAGTTCCAGACATTGACCACTCTGTTACTGAAATCATACTTCCTGCAATCGAGTTTGGAGTGGTTTACATTTAGTTTATATCTGTTGTGCGCTCTAGTGTTGTTGTTAAAGTTAAAATATTCATTAACTGGTAAGATGTTATAACACATGATTTTATGTACTATGCTTAAGTCCAATCTTAGTCGGCGTAGTTCAAGGTTGTCTAAGCCAAGAATCTCAAATCTGATGCTGTAGGGTATTCTGTTGTGAACAGAGGAATGTAGTACTCTTCTGGTAAAATACTTCTGGACTCGCTCAATTGTATTTATGTCAGATATATAGTGTGGATTCCAGACAGCAGAGCTGAATTCAGGTATTGGTCTAGCAAAGGTTTTGAATGCCCTAGTTAGCAAAACAGTATTACCAGAGGAGAAGCTTCGTAAAATTAAATTTACAACTCTTAAAGCCTTTTTGGCAATACTGTTGCAGTGAGCTTGGGCGCTTAAGATCATTCAATATGAGAACTCCAAGGTCCTTGACAAAGTGAGGGTCATCAACAAGGTCATATCCACCTAGATTGTATTTGGTATATAGATTTTTTTTAACCAATGTGTAGGACAGAGCATTCGTTGGTAGATATTTGGAGTTGCCAATTGTTAGACCATTCAGACACATAATCAAGGTCTTTTTGAATGGCGATAGCATTGACGGTGGTGTTGAATAGTTTTACATCATCAGCGAAAAGGACACAGTTGCTAATAAGTGATCACAGAGGTCATTTATATAGAGTGTAAAGAGTGTGGATCCTAGAACGCTCCCTTGTGGGATACCGCTGATAACTGGTGCAGGGTTAGGTAGGGCGTTTCCTATTTTTATTATTTGTTGCCTGTTGGTCAGGAAGGCAGTAATCCACTTGTGAAGAATTTAATTTTAATAGTAGTTTGTCATGTACCACTGAGTCAAATGCTTTGCAAAAGTCAATGTAAATTACATCTATTGGTTTACCCTGGTCGAGAAGTGTAGTCCATATATTTTTGCAGTGTAGAAGTTGCAAATTGCAGGACAATTTTTTTCTGAAACCAAATTGTTTATTGGAGAGTAAGTTGTTAAGACTCTAGGTGGAAGGTAAAGCATTAATAATTGATTCCACAACTTTGCACGTGACATAATACAATGAGATTGGTCTGTAGTTTTCAATCACGCAAGGGTCACCTTTTTTGAAAATAGGGATGACTGTTACTAAAGACCATAGGTTTGGTAAAGAGCTGGTTCTGAATGATAACTCATATTTTATGCTTAGTGGTTCTGCTATGGTAGTGGAGAGCTTTTTTTAAGAAGAATGCACATAAGCCATCAGGGCCAATAGATAAGTTTTAAGGTGGCGTAGTGCATTTTCTACATTATCTTCAGTAAAATCAATTTGTAGATCATTGCAGTTAGTTGTCGTACGATTAAGAAATGAGGGGCATTACTGTTAACAAAGACTGTTGAAGAGGTTTGCCTTAACAGCTTCATCGCTATAATCTTTCCCATTAGGACCTTTTAGAGGTGGGATGGTTTTTGATTTAAGTTTGGTGTTTACAAAGTTATAGAAGGCACGGGTGAATTTTGTGTGTAGAAGATTTTCCTCTTGCTTGCAGTGGTAATAGGTGCATTCTGCCTTTATATGTCGGCATAAGGTGTTGTATTGGTATTTAAAGTTAGCTACATGTTTAGTTTAGTTTTTACACCATAAGGATTTTTTTTTAGATTGAAGTTTTCTTATTATTTTGGGTAAATTGTTTTTTTGTTTTTGTTTACGGGGGTTACTAATGGAACATATAGTTTAATGACTCTTTCAAGTTTAAGCAAGAAGGCATTATAATGTTCTTCTGTAGTGTTACAGTCAGAGAACAGAATGTGCCAATCAAGAGATGATAAGTCGGCAGCTATGAGTTCATAATTGTCTTTTTTTAAAATTGTATTTTTGGAGATCCATCATTATGATCCTCTTTTAATGGGTGTAAATTTAGACAAAAGTCAATCATGCTATGGTCACTGTTTGAAAATGGTTCCTGTATTTGAAGGCCATAAATTGAGTTTGAGATATTGCAGAAGATGAGGTCGAGGCAGTTGTTTAGTCTTTTCTAACAATCTATTGTACTCCTATTTTTCCTTATTTAATATTTTACACCCACCCCACCTAAAGCTTTGCAGGGAAGCATGAGACCTAGGAATTCCATATTGTGTTCCCTGCTTTGGTTTGACACTAGGGTTGCTTCTGCCCAATGAGGGAAGGAGGAAGAGCTGATGACCACCCCTCTAAAAAGATAGATTTACAATTATAGAGAAGGTCTAAAATTAACAAGAAAGGGCAAAGAAAACAGTAATGTAGAGATGAGGTTTTAAAAATAGCTTTTCAAAAGACCTGTTAAAAAAACTCCTGCAGGGTTATATTATCTAATTACAGAATGCTGCCTCCTGAAGTTCAAAATATATTATTGAAAATGAATTTAGAAATTCCTATCCTAGAAGCAATTCTAAATATTGTTCTGCTTAGTTTCAATTTTAAGATTTTTTTGGGCTGTTAGAAGAATTAAAATCTCTCATCCATTTTCTTTGATAAGTAAGTATATATTTACCTCCTTGTTCAGTGCAAAAGGTAATTAACCAGCCAATACCAGAAGCAAATGCAGTTTCAACAGTGTTAGCAAAATTTCCTAGAGGGAAAAACAGCAGAATGGATTTAGGAATTTGCACCTATTGCTTTATTATTCATAAGGTTTACATAATATGATTTAGTTGTAACTCAACTTTAAGATATATTTTTTGTAAACATATTTTATAATTTATGAAAGAAACATATTTGGCTAAAATATATCACCTATATTTGATCCAATAGTGAACTATTTATTTGTTAATATCTACTCACCGTCCATGACTCTGCATTGGGTGATCTAAAATAATAAACACTAAAAGCAAAACACATGCAAATTGAAAATAAATGCTTATTTGAAAATAAATAAATGTTTACCTGCCCATAGTTCTGTCACTGTGCTTGTGACATACTGCATGGCAAAATTTGTTAAACTCTCTTTTGATCTGTCACCATAAAATTTCACTGGATTCTAAAAAAATGTGGAAAAGCATCCAATTTTAAAACAGCATTTTGTGGTCACGCATATTAACCAATATTCTTGGGAGCTTATTTTTATCCTCTATCTTTGCTACAGAAAGTTTCTTTTTTGAGTTTAGAAGAGGAATCTAGAATAGAAACTGAATTGGTAACATTATCTTATCAATGCTACAGTTCTTCTCCTAGTTGAAATACTAAAAACATCTACAAACTATGAACAGCTGTGCCTAAGCAGAACAGAGCAACAAGCTATGCTCTATCCTGTCCATTTAGCCCTCACAGATTTGACACATTCTTTGCAATTGGAAAAAATCCAGGGTTTAAATTGCTTAGGGTTTTGGATTATGAAGAGGCTTTTCTTCCCGTTTTCTGGAAGCAAAGAGAATCCTTATCTCTGCTCAATAGAAAGGTTGGGGACAAGCACTGTTAAAAAAAAAATGGGGAGCGGGACACCTTGTACCTCTTTCATGCGCTGCCTTAAGTCTTTTCAGTATCGAAGTATGAACAGACCTATTGTTTCAAGTTTCAGCACCAACTGCCTTCTATCACGCTTCCTTCAAAAGAAGGCAATTCTAAATTTAAGACAAATGAAGACTTGGGCAGAAGAAAAAAAAATCTGCATATTCTGAGAAAGTCTAAGGCATCTTCTTTCTCATTTAAGAAATGAATTACTGGGGGAAAACAATCTTCCTTTCAATGCTGCAATATCCTCCTGCAATAGTATTTGAGTGTTTGGGCTTGAGGTTACACATCTCCACGCAACAAGGACAAGCTTTGGCCCCAAGTCTCTAATAAATGGGGCAAGACTTTTCTTCCTGCCAGAGGTCCCCGAATGCAGTGGAGTTACTTCAAACACTCCTCTATGGAATGGAATGGGGTGCTAGGTTCTGGGCCTACTTACCATTCCACTTTTGAAGACATAGAGGCTAGGGTAACTATTGATTCCCTTACTCCAGCAAAGCATTCTGTTATCACCACAGTTGACGGCACCGATGCGTATTAATCCATCCATTTCTTTAGCAAATTCTCTCCACTTCAAATGAAAAAAAAAAAAAAAGATTATTTTTTTTCAGCCTCTTATCCAGTTCGAAAATGCTTACAAAAAGAATTTCAATATCTGTTCCCTTAATTGTAACTCAAATATACTATTACTAGTACTGTTTATAAAAACCCACATTTTCTTCTTAGGTGAGCCGAAGAATGACATCATTCAACCCCACTACCAAGCACATTCCTTACTCTTGTTTGACATCGCTACATACTTTGACCACAGATGGTCAAAGTGGCAAAGTAATTTCTGATATGACTCCTAGCAGAACTGTTTCGGAAGAAATGGTGGCAGACTGCAAGACCCTGACTACACTCTTGCCAAAAACATGCAATAGGGCTTCATATGGGCCAAACTGGAGAGCGTTATATAGCTGAAATATAGTCCTGGTCCATGTCAGAAGGATGAAGATTCCTCTTATTCTCATGCCACAGGGTAAGTCTTCACTTTTTCTCTCAATCAGCTCTCTAGGATTTTACACACATGAGAGAGAGAGAGAGAGAGAGGGAGGGAGAGAGAGAGAGAGAGAGGGAGAGAGAGAGAGAAAGAGAGAGAGGGAGAGAGAGGGAGAGAGAGGGAGAGAGAGAGAGAGAGGGAGAGAGAGAGGGAGGGAGAGGGAGAGGGAGAGGGAGAGGGAGAGGGAGAGGGAGAGGGAGAGAGAGAGAGAGAGAGAGAGAGAGAAAGAGAAAGAAAGAAACTGGGACATTCAATGACAACACACCTACAGTGGCAACCTACCGTGGGTGCTAAATCATGGCAATGTGAACATCGAGGAGAATAGAAATTTACAAACCACAGTTCTCCAGAACCAACAGCAGCATCTATTAAACAAGAAAGAATGATGAAGAAAAACATTATTTTTATCACTGAAAAATTTCCAGGCAAACATAATCAGAGGGAAGTGGGAGCACGCAGAGTAGCCTAGTCTTCTAAACCAACGTCCTCCAGCCGAGAAAGACTTTTCATGTCTTCCAGTCAACTGCTGATCTAGAGATGATGTGAATTGAAGGGTAATATAATGTGGAAGGAATTGGAGTATCTCTGCAGCCCATCAACATTGGGGGAGAGTGATATGCTTACAGTATATAAATTAATTTAAAAGGTCTTAAAATGAGACTGAAACTTATAAGTTGCAGCTGAATAATAACTCCCATCATCCACAGTTACTCACCTTGTTGATTGGGAAGGAACTAGATTCCCTCCGCTACTTTAAAACACACGATACATGGCTAATTAGATTTAAAGATGACCAGACCGGCAGAACCTAACATCTCCACTGAAAGTTAGCCTATGTTAGAAACACTAATAAGAAATAATAAAGAGAGTGGAGCCTTTGATTTTTAGACCTTCCTTAGAGGACCCCAAAGCTAGGTACTTCTGAAAACTAAATGCTGCATTTGGCAGAGTCTGCTACAGTTCGATTAAATATTCTGGTATGCATTAAGAAAACTGGCTGAAGAACAGGTCTCAAATTAATGCTACAAAAGTGGTTAAGAAACCCCATCAACTCCTTGGAGGAGTGAAGTTCTTTTCCCTAGTTTCCCCTTTGAATAAAAGTTGACAGGAACCTTGCTCTTTAAAAGTGGAACTGCGCAGGTCCTGGACCAAAGGAAGGAGTATACAGATAATCTCAATTATAGCTGCCATCTCAATTATAGCTGCCCAGAAACACAAGACTATTTTGGCATCCCACTTCTTACAAATCATCATGCCAATTTATTAATCTCATGCATATATGCTCACTTAAAAGTCAACTTAAGATGCATACCATATTCATTTGGCACAGCAAAAACAGAAACAAAGGGAAAGAATTAATATTAATATGTCTACTGTAGGATGAAAACAGCATTATGGGGATAAGAGCATAAAATAGGAGCTTAGTGGTTAAGTTATTGGCCTAAAAGCAGGGAGACCAATTTTTAAGTCCAGGCTCAGTGATAGTAGCTTGATCACTATCACTCTTTCCCTGCCTACTCAACCTGATAGGGTTGCTGATGTAGGAGAAAGAGGAGAACTGTGTGCCATTTCGACCTCCAAAATGAAAGGCAGGTACAACACCTACTCCTCATTTAGTAACCACCTTGATTAGCGACTATTCACAAATACAACATTTGAAAAAAATGTTACAACTACTGGACGCACATGACCAAATTTCTACACCTGACAACTGATGCCAGAATGAGAATAATGCTGCTATTGCCTCATCAGAGAATTTTATCTGAATGAAATGACAGCAAGCAATGATCTTCACAAAGGGTGCATGAATCTCTGTGACCTAATGACTATTTCAGTCAGTGATTATTTCACTTCCAATTTAATAACTGCAATCACTAAATGAATGTATAAATAAAAAAATATATTTGGAGACCACCTCACATGGATTCTGAATGACATTCTGCTATCTGTACAGTAACAACAACAAAAGTCATAGAAAACAATACAATAAAGAAATTGGAAAGCAGAAAATGTTAGGAAATTACATGATCACAAATGACTTACCAAATTCTCCTCTATCTAATGTTATGATTTCAGGATCATCATCATAGATACCTGGTAAAAAAAAGCCCTCAGTTAGCATTTTTAGAAGTCCATTTAATCCCACTATACAACATTTAAATAGTAATAACCAATTACTACTCCTTTGCTCATATATACCCAAGAGACCACTAACCCATGAATAACGAGATACTTTAGGTTCTAATAATTATTTTCTTTCTTAGAATATTATATAATAACTAAATCTTAGCATAAAAATCCATCAATCGTGGCTATAATACATTTCTTTAAAGCAGGGAAGCTACATGTCATTCATATATACAGTGTAAAGTTTAATTTTTTGCTCAAATGAAATTGAGTTTCATAGCTCATTCTGTCACACATAATATTGTCAAGCTTCTAACACAGCACATAACAAGATTCATCTTATTATTTTGGTTTATTGTCAAGAATACAAAATACAAAAACTTGGAAAGAAACCAACGCTCTAGCACTTATTTGTGAGTGCATTAAGACAATGGCTGAGACACAATTGAACCTCTTTTTCCCCTTGTGAGACCAAAGGGCTAACCATCTTTTTCACCCAATAAGACTTACACTGAAATATCCATCTGCTTATTATTGTTTTGAAATGCTCCCATTTTCCCCCAGCAAGAGAGGTCTACCTTAAAGGGCAAGAAATGCTGTTTGTTGAGAAACTCAAAATGGCTGGTTTAAGAGCATGCCTCTGTCCATTTTGTTATAGGATGAAGATAATTGAGAGTTGTATGTATGAGAAGAGACATAAAAGCAAGTTACATGCAATAGGAACTGGATATTTAGAAAATGTGTATGGTAAAACAAGAAAATATAGCATGAACAATAACTCTCAAATGATTCAACACTCAACAAATGAGTGTTGAATAAATGCAGGCAGAGCACAAATCAAGGGAACCACACTGAGTTGATTTAACTCTAAAAAAAGAGAATGAATGAAAATTAAATTGTGAAACATATATAAAGGAAGAACTTAAGGCAAAAAGGAAGACTATGAAAGTTGTGGTTAAATAGAGTTCTTCAGAGAGAAGGTTAGAAGTGTTAAAACAACGACAATACACAAATGGAAAACAAGGATAATTTGCAAGGACAGAAAGTAAGGAGAAATAAAATGATTGTTATTAGTACAATATAAACCACATTTAGTTTGACTTTTCTCTTATATAGCCTCCCCACCTCTCCTTTAATTTCTTTTGCTTGCTACTTCACATTCTTTGTCTGGGCTCTGCATTACCAGACACAAGGAGTGTATTTGATATGCATGCACGTATGTATGTATGGCTGGCTAGTGGACTGCCAGTTGGCCATCCATACCAAGAAGCAATTTTAAATGGAGACTTACTCAATCTGAAAGCAGTCTGAGAACCTATTACAAAACAACTCATTAACAACTCTTGATGGGAAAATAAATTTAATATACTGGGTGTCCTGCTCCCAAAGTAATTAAAAAAGCCAAGTATACATAGTATGCTACCACACAACACCCACACTCCTAATTAAGACTTAAATTCTCCTATACCTTTTAATGTGCAGATTAGGGCCAATATTTTCCTCTGAAAGTGTTTTTTTTTTAAAAAAGAACCACAGAAAATAGGTTACAATTTAGTTTCATGTACAAGAAAATATCTTACCAAAATCATAGCGGTAAAAGTTCCAGCTTTCATAGCGACCTCCTTCCTGGTGATCTTCTAGACCTTTCTCACCATATTTATCATACTTCTTTCTCAAATCTTCATCTTTTAATACTTCATAAGCTCGGTTTATTTTCAAGAAATTTTCATGTGCCTCTGGATTGTTCTGGAAAAAGAGCGCTGGTGTTAAAACTAACATACTGAGAAAATATTGAAATCTGCTCAGGACATTTTAATTGTCAAAAATGTTCTGACACTGGCATTGCATTAATTTTTAAGTGTCTTAGACATATATCAAGAGAGCTCGTTACATTTTTGCTAACTTCAGCTGAAAACATTACCTAGGATTCTGACAAGTAACAGGCAGGACGGGCTATGACAAGGCAGAAGGTAATTTGCCTGTTACCACCTCATCAGCAATATCACAACTTTGTTACAGTGAGGGTGACGGGGGAGAGTGTTTTGATGAATTTTTTTAAGTGGAATGAACTGTTGCATGAGTTGGTATATGACTTTTAAATTCCTACATGTTGGTATAATTTTGCTTCTTTCTGAACCTTTTCACTTATTTCTCTATCTAAAGCTCAATAAACATACAGGCAACTTCTCAGAGAGCCTGAAAGACTGCTAAGGAGAAGTAGGCAGAAATCTAACCTTCTCCTCCTCCTCCTCCTCATTGGCCAACATTTTCAAGATCTGAGCTTGAAGTAGAACAAACACGGCTATTATACCCATAGCATTAAGACAGATTCTATTGTTGGGTGCGTAATTCAAGTAAGAAATGTCACATTGCACAGCAAACCTGTACAAGGTGTGACCTATTTCAAAAGGAACACCAGCTGCTCATTTTATAGAAATGCATGCAGTGTTGTCAGAGTTATTATTATTATTATTAACGGCCAACTGGGGCTCCGATTACAAAAATAATGGATTTACCATGCTCCTTGTAGTTTGCTGCATTACATTTCATGGATCTATTATTATTTACCCTGAAGCTATAGATTAGTTTCTGAACCTTGGCAAATTTGATTGTGGCTGTGGAATTTTGGGAGTTGAAGTTCACTTAACTTAAACTTGCCAAGGTTGAGAAATACTGGTATAGATTATATAATCAAACAGATTTGACTACAAGATCTGGAACTGTAGCCCACAATTAAGAAGCATCAGGTTGAATATGAAGAGAAATGATTTCTTGGAAGCAGGAAAAAAAAAAGAGAAGTGCTAACTGCGGAACTGTAACATAACACATTGTACTTTTTGAAACAATTATACCAATTAATCACAAAATATGCTTTACAAGATATTTAAACATTTGCATAGACATTTCTTAGTTAACAGGAAAATATTTCCTGACAAGCTAACCTACCTGGTTCTTATCAGGATGCAGTTTTAGAGCCAACTTTTTAAAAGCCTGCCTGATTTCTCTACTTGTTGCTTCTTTGGATATTCCAAGTAAACTGTAATAGTCTTGAGTTGGATCAACTAAAGCTACAAGGCATATTAAAATGAAACACAAGGAGACAATTTTTATAAAGTCTCTGACGCATTGTCTTTTGGGAAATGAGGTCTCCATTATGAATATCGTAAGTCAAGTATACTTCACAAGAGACTTAACAGCTCTCACTCTGATGTAACATGGACTGCATATATTTCTGAAGTAGCTTCTTGTAGGATTTTTGCTGTCATATAACCCAGGCATAGAAATGTATGCTTCTTACGTAGACTGGGCCTAGGGAAACAAAAAACAGATTTTAGGTCCTTTATGTTCTACAGCAAATTCATGATGTTGAATTCCCTCCGTTTTCTTTAAAGCCTTCAACACAACTCTGCTGTTTTTATATTGTTCTGCAGCTGTGCTTATAAAGAGACATAACTCAAGTTTAATTCCTTTTCTCTGTTGCTGTACACTGTTCATATTCTCCTTGGTTCAAAATATCCTGCATTGATCCAACCTAAACTAAGGAGAAATTCCTGACAATGTGAACAATTAACCAGTGGAATGGTTTGCCTCCAGAAGTTGTTCGTGCTCCAACATTGGAGATTTTTATGAAGAGATTGGACAGGTACTTGTCTGAAATGGTATAAGGTCTTCTGCTTGAATAGGGAATATATTATGGTAGGAGTACCCAGCAGGGGTGGGATTCAAATTTATTAACAACTAGTTCTGTGGGTGTGGCCTAATTTGTGGGTGTTGCTTGGTGGTCATGTGACTGGATGGGCATGGCTTGTATGTAAATATTATATATATTGATGTACATATTGATGTTTTTATTAAAAAAGAGCAACTTTTATCCAAAAGCAGGCAAAGCAGGCAGGCAGATTGAGTTGCTCACAGAATCACAGATTCACTTAGAGATCTATCTATCTGCAATCAGCTATCGGAGTCTGTCACATAAAATTTGCTTGCAAGCAAACTCACAAAATTAACTCACAACACTGCGGCTTTGCTCCGCATTAGGAAGGCTTCTCACTGGGTGGTCGAATGCATCAAGAAAGACTCCAGGCAGGTTCTATCTTGGGTGAGCTGCCCCGATCATGAGTTCGGGAAGCTCTTTTATTAAAAACACATAGCGATACGTCATAAGCGGTGAATTCTATCCAATCATTATGTTACATGAGCAGAAATATTAGTGGACACATAGCAGCATCCAATTACAGTTACATGGTCAGTTTAAAAGGTACAAAGTAGCAAATCAGCGTTTGCAGTCCAGTTATTAGCCCATGATGACGTGTTGTTGATTGATGTTCTTTGCTCCTTGTACGCTTTCAGCCTACGTGAGGCCTTGAGGCCTGGTATGTACCGAAACTATTGAAGCTGATTTATTACTGCATCTCCTCTGTTTTAGTTTTATAGAGAAATTTCTTCTGGATCTTCGTCACTGCCCATGCGAAAACTCGTGCGAGCGCACGCATCAGGGTCTTCTGAGGGTATGACTTTGTACAGAGGTTCCTTTTCCCAGAGGGCATTAACCTGTGCAATGGCACGCTTTTCAGCTAGCAAGGAGAGACTATTGGAGATAGTGCGAATAAAAATTGGTAACACACACAGAAGAATAACGCATCCTGCAGCAATCATACCTATGAGAGCTACTATAGCTTGTAATCCTGGTAGTTTTGGGAACCAGGAACTAAAAATATTTTTAAGATTAATACCTTGCCATACTTGATTAGGATTATAGGTTAATTGTCGCATTTCAGTTGTTAATTGTGCTACTACTTTGCCAACTTTATCAATTTGAAGACAACAATTTGTGAGATTGAACCTATCACATACCCCTCCTTCTTTGGCTAGTATGTAATCTAAAGCTAAGCGATTTTGGTAGACAGCTGTGCGTAATTTGTCTGTAGCAGTCGCTAGAGTGTTTAGAGTCTTATCTATTCGTTGGCCTGCTAAATCTAAAACAGCTTGTAAACGAATAATTCTATTAATCATATATATGGGGGTTCTATATCCATAGGACCCGTCTTGGGAAGATGTTGTGTCATTGAGATAAGGGAGGAGGGAGGTGTTGAATTTGGCAGGTGTGGTGGTAGCATTGTCAGGTGCTATCCAAGTCTGGTAGGAATTATCCCATGTACCTAAGCAAAGGAGGTGTCCTACTGGAGTGGACCCATTTCGGGAAAAGCAGTTTCTACCAATTAAGTTGGTGGTGACTGTCCAGATAAGTGGATCGGAAACTGTTCTAGCTGTTATGTTTCCTATAGAAGACATGTTGTTGAACAGTGATGGTGAGGCTTCTAAGGCTTGCCACGGCCATTGTTCTCCTGTGGTGGTTCCCCCACGGACAAAACAATTGGTTATTGCAAGTTGTTTTGCAATTTTTTCTGCCATATCCATGAACAAGTTTTTTGCAATTACACTGGTATCAGGGGCTTTTTCTTATTTCCTTAAATTATTATATACCGACCAGCCTAACGATGTTTCCTTACCTTCATATATTACTTCGGTTTTTATGGTGATGTAAATGTTTGGATCTAATCCTGTGCCATCAATCCCTATACCATAAGTATCCAAAGCAGGGTGTTGTCTGGATATGGTGATTTCTACCTTATTGTCTGTGGTAGACCCTGATATTCGTTTGAAATGTGACAGATGATTGCAACCTGAGTACCCTCCCCCAGTATAATCACAGACATAAGACCAACCTGAGCACTCGATGGAACCTCCACAAGGGATCCACTGGTTGGGGTTCCCTATGGCAGGGGTCCCCAACCGCCGGTCCGCGGACCGGTACCGGGCCGCGGAACAAGTCTTACCGGGCCTCTGGTTGCTGGGCGCCGCCATCTTTTTTTGGTAAAAAAGTGC